CACAACAACACACTACACAACACAAAGACCCATCCTGAAAATCAATGCCGTGTACACCTTATGCATTTTCAGCTTTCTTCCTTGTTGTTGCACATGCATTTTCAGCCACATATCCACTCACATGCACCCTTTAAACATTCAACCATAAAGCCACATGCAATCTCATTCATCCACCATACATTGCACATGCTTTCACAAGCTTTAACCAACACACAAAACAGCCAACACATGCACCAAAAACTCCTTTACCGTGGGTTCCCTTTGCTTCCCTTGTGCAATTTCAGTTTTCACATGTGTCCTAGCTGTTTTTCCATCATTCCTCCACACAAATGCTTAAACAAATAGCCATATGTTCCCTCCACTACTCCTATAAATACCCTTGCATTCATTCATTCAGGCATCTCATCTCATTCACAACACAACACTCTTCAAAATCATCCATTCTTCCCCCTTTTGGCCGTGAGTTTCCCTTCCATCTCTCCTCCATTTCTTCCATTTCCATAATCCCCCAATCCATTCAACACACCAACAACATCCCTTAGTCCTTGTGCCACAATAAAGAGGAAGATAAGAGGGCCTAAACGTTCATACAATTCATGTTTGAGTTGTTGGAATGTTTACGCGTTTCTTTGATTTCAATGTTGTAAATTCAATTCTCTTTGTTTTGTAATATGAGGAATGGAAGAGAAGAGTGCCTAAACGTTCATACAATTCGAGTTTGAGTTGTTGGAATGTTTAGGTGTTTCTTTGATTTCAAAGTTATGAGGAACTAAACCCCCCTTAGCTAGGGGTGATTTCAATACCATGATTGTTTATGTAATATGAATTGATGAATTCCAGTTATGAACTCTTGATTCGTGAATGCAATTGGCTTAACTATTTGATGATTAACTTATTTGTGTTTGTTGATTGAGGGTCGACACTTAATTACATGCATGAATATGTGGCTAAAGTTTAAGAAGGTTTCACATAATCGTTACTAACTTATACTTGAAAGTAGTGAAGGTCGCTTGTCACGATCGCGTTAAGTTTAAATTCTTAGCATGAGTAACATGATGTCATAGTTGCAAGTGCTTTGTCAATGCTTATGGTTTTCATTATTCTTAATGATCTTCGATTGTATCTCTATTATGATGACATGTAGGGAACTTTTGAGAATGTTTTGGGTTGTCGAATGATGCCATCCAATCCAATAATATAAGGAAAATCTGAGGGTTAACTAGTGATGTCACGGTTAATTTGGGGCATTGTCGTTCATAATTCAATGAAGGAATAACTGGAAATTGATTCATATGCATAAATATCATGTGTGGAGAAAGAACCTCTAGCTAATTCACCAACCATCTAATTTCACAACACTTGTTTGCAATCTATCCATATTTACAATTTGTTTTGTTTCCAAGTATCCATTTTAGTTTAAATTCGTCCAAATCCAATCCCCCCCTATTTCGTTGAAGTCTTAGTCTTAATCTTTCTTATTTTTAGTTTTGCTTTCTTCGAGCATTAAATAGTGTTTTATATTGAGTTTTTATGTTTTTAAGTCAATTTAGAAGGTTTTAGCAAGCCCTCCTAATCCCCGGTCTAGAACGATCCCTCACTTATCCATTCTACTACAATTGTCAAACGAGGGTAAAATTTGAGTGTCAAGTAATTCTCGCATCACCTGTTGATCACATAAGCTGCAGTTGTCATTGTTTCGGCCCAAAACCTTCCTGGTACATTCTTGGCATGGAGCATACTTCGACATATTTCTGCAAGATGCCGGTTCTTTCTTTCCGCTACGCCATTCTGTTATGGCGTATTGGCACAAGTGAACTGGTGACGTATTCTACATTCTTGTAGATACTGGGAAAACTCATTCGAGGTATATTCTCCTCCATTATCTGTGCATATGCAACGAATCTTATTTCCTACTTCTCCTTCAATTGTCTCCTTAAACTCTTTAAATTTTGAAAATGTTTCAGATTTTTCTTTCATAAAGAAAACCCACACATACCTCGAGAAGTCATCAATGAACGTCACCATGTACCGCATCCCACTTATCGATGGTTGCTTGACGGGCCCGAACACATTAGAATGAACCAACTCCAACGCCTCTTTCGCTTTAAATTTCGACTCTTCGTATGGTAGTTGATGTGCTTTACCATACTAGCATCCTGCACAAACCGTGTCTGTTCTCACATCAAGCTGAGGTAGCCCTTTAAGCATTGACTTCTTCATCATCACATTTAGCTTGTGATAGCTAACGTGTCCCAATCTCATGTGCCATTAATCTGCTGTCTCGTTCTTCCTTGTCTTGTCTATGTATGCAGTTTCTGTTGACATTACATAGACTGACTGCAGTCGCCGTCCCTCCATTGTTGGCGTCCCTAAGATCTTGAGGTGTCGATACACCTTTACATCTCGTGGACTAAACAAGACATAATTTCCCAACGACGTCAGTTGTGGCACTGAAAGCAGATTTTTCTTCATACCTTGAACATGGTAGACATCTTGAAGCGGCACATGGTTAGTGCTATATCGGGACTCAATTACTGTTTTACCGATGTGAGCAATCGGTAGCCTCGAGTCATTAGTCGTCACCACTAAGCGGCCTCCTTTGTACTCAGTCAGACTTTGTAACTTTTTCTCATCACCTGTCATATGTTTTGAGCAGCCTGAATCCACGATCCAATCATTCTGGTAGTCAATTGACGCTGACTCTTTCTTCTCTGTAGCAATAGATGCTTCACCGTCCCATTCTTCCTCTAGGGCTAGAGACACAATGACGTCCCAATCATCTTCAATTTTCTTCTCTGAGTTGGCGACGTTACTTTCTGCAGGCCTTTTAAACCAGCAATCCTTCGCCATGTGGCCATTCTTTCCACAATTGCAACATTTGCCCTCAAATCTTTTATTATTCTGGGACTGACCACGGTTGCCGTGATACTTTGGAGCTCCCCCTGGCCAAGAACTCCCTCCTCCTTGATGACCTTTTTCCTTGTCACCATTTCTTTTAGATCCACCACCAACACGCTGCTTAAAGCTGCCTTTACTTTTGGTGTAGAGCGCTTCCTCCTCACCTTTTAACGAGATCCCTCCCATTTGCTTTGCCAAAGCTTCTTGATCGGCAAGCAAATTCTCAAACTCAACAAGTGATGGTTGGGTCGGCCATCCTTGTACAGCAGCAACGAAGCCTCGATATTCGGGTCTCAATCCATGGTTAATTATTCTTTTTATCCTGGATTCTACAATGGCAGCACTAGGATCTAATTCAGAAATTTCACGGCAAATAGACTTTACCTTGTGGAAATACTGCGCAATCGTCATATCCCTTTGGGCCACTGATAATAACTCGTTCTCGAGAAGCTGCAGTCTTGCATCGTTCCTCTTTGAAAAGAGTGTGGCGAAGGTGTCCCATGCTTCTTTTGGTGTCTTGGCCTTCCGTATGTGCTCTAACATGTCATCTTCAACTGTGGTTTTTAAGGCAAACATGGCCTTACCTGCCTTGATCTTCCACTTCCTCAAAGCGCCGCTAGTGTCTTCTTCTGGCTGCGTAACTTCATTACCGCCGACGACATCCCAAAGATCTTGGCCTTGTAGGTAAGACTCCATACACGTCGCCCACGTGTTGTAATTTTTGTTGTTCAACTTCTTGATTCCTCCAACAACTTGAAGGTCTCCCATCATGTCGGCAGAGCTTCGATAAGCCGAACAAGATTAACGAATAATCTTGCGAAGTACTAAACTTCTCATGATTCTCAAAAGCTTTAATTGAGACGGTCCCTGATCGTACCGCTCTGATACCAATTGTTGGGATGAAAAAACTTAGAGTACACAACTCTAGCACAAGTGTTGGAGAGACAATACAAGTAAACAAATTACTTGTATTACACAAACAAAATATTACAACACAAACTATCAAAGACACTCTTGAGAAGCTATGACACTCCCTCACTTTCTAGAGACAAACTCTAGAACACTCACACACTTACAAGACTATTCCTTCTTCTCACTCTCACTTGCTTGCTTGCTTACAAGCTTGCTTGGTTTTTTACATAGCACCACACCCATATTTATAGGGCATGTTTGCCGACTTTGGACATTGCTAGATCATTCTAGCTACTAATCATGCATGCCACCAACATATGGCTAATAGCCATATAATATTACAACTTGCTAGAATTATCTAGCTTATTATGCATGCCCACCGACTTTAACATGCAAATTTGAACTAGAATGGTCTAGTTCATTTGCAGCTGGACATAGTCTTCTAGAAGCTTCTACCTTCCAAGCTTGCTACTTGTATTTGCTAGACTTTTCTAGAATCCAAACACCAATTGGGCTGGTGTTGATCTTCATGAATTTAGATGGATGCATGCACTAAAGAATTTGTCATATACACATATATACGTACACTGTGCACATGCGTGCAGTTTCTATATATTTATGTCATATACATATATATCATATATGCCAAATTTTAATTAGATTGGCCCCTACTACTTATATGGATATCCGATTGAAAGATTAACAAAATAACAAACTAGTATGTTTGTTTTTCTGTTTGAAGTATTATATTCTTTAAATAATAGAAACAAAAAGAAAGTCGTCACCAAATTTGAATTGAGTGCTCTCTGCAGCCTTGAGGAGGAGAGAGGAGGACCGGAGGACCGGAGGCGGCATCTGATGCACGTGGAATGGCTGCTATACCGGCATACTGCTACAGTAGAATCTGCCTCCTCCGCTGGCAGCCCATCGCTGTCGACGCCCAACATTTTCACCCCAAAACAGTCCGCTTGGTTGGCTGACGCTTATTACCCTCCAAAATACGTACACCCACTCTCCTTTCTACGTGTTGTGGGGCCCCTCTTGTCCCTTTTCTCCTAGACCACCCCACGACTCTCCGTTTTCCCTTCGTCAGCTTCCCCCTTCCTTCGTGGGTCCCACCCTCCCTCCTAACACGGGCCGCCACTCAAAACTCCCGCGTCCACCCCCTATATAAAGCCCTCCAAACCTACTCCTCAGTCTCACTGCACCAAACACACTTCTCTCTCTCTCCTCTTCCCCTCACTGCCTTCTCCTCTCTGTTTATATCCAACACGCAACAAAAGTAGCTTCATTTCAAATTAACTTACAGCCTCGCCACTCCCAAATCCAATCTTCAAATGGCTGTCGACTCCTCACTCTCTCCCCTCGGCCCACCGGCCTGCGACAAGGACGCCAAAGCGTTACAGTTCATTGAAGAAACTACCCGGAACGCCGACGCCGTGCAAGAGCGGGTGCTGTCCGAGATACTAGCTCGAAACGCCCAGACAGAGTACCTTAAACGCTTCAAACTCGGCGGCGCCACCGACCGCAAAACTTTCAAGTCCAAACTCCCCGTGATTACCTACGAGGATCTCCAGCCCGAAATCCAACGCATCGCCAATGGTGATCGCTCCCCCATATTGTCAGCTCATCCCATCTCAGAATTCCTCACCAGGTAATTGATTAACTAAATCACAAACTAATCACTCACCCCTATTAATTTTGTTCACAAAATTATTTGAATTGAATTCATTTTGTTGACTTTTTTTTTTTTATGGAAAATTACAGTTCTGGGACTTCAGCTGGAGAGAGGAAGCTGATGCCAACAATTCAGGAAGAATTGGATCGTCGCCAATTATTATACAGCCTTCTCATGCCCGTCATGAACCTGTAAGTATTTTTAAAATAGTTATTTATTTAAAATACGCGTTTAAATTTGTTTAATTATTTAATTAAAATATCATTTTCTAATAAACTTTTAATTTTTTTAATGGAACAGTTGCGTGCCCGGTCTGGACAAAGGAAAGGGCCTATACTTTCTGTTCGTAAAGTCCGAAACAAAGACGCCGGGCGGGCTTTTGGCCCGACCCGTTCTCACCAGCTACTACAAAAGCGAGCACTTCAAGACGCGCCCGTACGACCCGTACAACGTGTACACGAGTCCCAATGATGCAATCCTTTGCCCGGACTCCTTCCAAAGCATGTACGCCCAAATGCTCTGCGGCCTTCTCGAGCGCGAAAAAGTCCTCCGCCTCGGCGCCGTTTTCGCGTCCGGTCTCCTCCGCGCAATACGGTTCCTGCAGCTTAACTGGCAACAGCTGGCGGAAGACATTCGGACCGGGACTCTCAGCTCTAAAATAACTGACTCGGATTTGAAATCCTGCATAGGCAGGATCTTAAAACACGACCCGGAGTTGGCGGATTTCATGTCCAAACAGTGCGGAAACGAAAATTGGGATGGGATTTTGACCCGGATATGGCCAAACACGAAATATCTGGATGTGATAGTGACGGGCGCGATGGCGCAGTACATTCCGACGTTGGATTACTACAGCGGCGGGTTGCCGATGGCATGTACGATGTACGCATCGTCGGAGTGTTATTTCGGACTCAACCTCAACCCGATGTGCAAGCCTTCTGAAGTTTCCTACACGATAATGCCAAACATGGCCTATTTTGAGTTCCTTCCCTACGAGCCAAACTCGGTGAGTGGCGGCGGCGAGTCGGGAACCAGACTCGTTGACCTCGTCGACGTCGAGGTCGGAAGAGAGTACGAGCTGGTGATCACCACCTATGCCGGGCTTCACCGGTACAGAGTCGGCGACATCCTCCGAGTCACCGGGTTCCACAACTCGGCCCCGCAGTTCCACTTCGTGAGGAGGAAGAACGTTTTGCTCAGTATTGACTCGGACAAGACCGACGAGGCAGAGTTGCAACTCGCCGTCGACAACGCCTCCAAGCGCCTCCAGAAATTCAGCGCTAGCGTGGTGGAGTACACAAGCTACGCCGACACGACGACAATCCCGGGGCACTATGTGATCTACTGGGAACTTCTCGTGAAGGACTCGGCGAACTCGGAGGGCGAGTCGTTCGACTCGACGATGGACCAATGCTGCCTGGAAATGGAGGAATCGCTTAACTCGGTGTACCGGCAAGGTCGAGTGGCGGACAACTCGATCGGGCCGCTGGAGATACGCGTGGTGAAGAGTGGCACATTCGAGGAGTTAATGGACTACGCGATCTCGAGAGGCGCGTCGATTAACCAGTACAAGGTGCCGCGGTGTGTGAATTTTACCCCAATCATGGAGTTACTAGACTCCAGGGTAATTTCCAAGCATTTCAGCCCATCTTTACCACACTGGACTCCTGAACGGAAGATGCGATAAATAATAAGTCAACGAGGTGGTGACCGTTAGTCTTCTATATAAATTTCTTTTCTTTTTTTAGTTTGGGATAATTTATGGGTTAGGACTTTTTATTATATTTTATTAGATAAATGGAGAAAAAATCGTAAGCGGCTTTTTTGTGATGGGGTTCAATTCGCAATTGAGTTGTGCAAAGAATGTAAATGAATGGTTGCCTTCATAGTCAGCGGCTTTTTGATCATCGTCCATTCAATGAATGACATGACATAATTGCAAAGCTACCCAACTTATCCTCCTTTTCTTGCCAACATAGAACTCCATAGCAAAAAGGGGAAAAGGGTGTTTGATGGGTTTGGTACTTTGGTTCAAGAAAACACAAGGATTAAGACAATTATCAGGATCTATTAATCACCGTTTCCTTTTTTCATTTCAGTTTTTTATTTTTTGTAATAAATGGAAGAAAGAATGTGCAAGAGACGTTCAAAAATTAAAGAATGAATGACTGTAAAAGAAATATATATTGAATGATGAACAACATTAACAGACTCTATTCATCTCACCCATAGTGTCAAAAACTATTCAACAATTGAAAGAGTATGTGAGATGTACAATTAGGTGTGTGAAAGTCATCATCGTCAAATGTAACATTTTCTAGTAAGCCAAATACTTGTCATGATGCCACCGTGCCAACTTCGCTTCAGTTGTACAATACAAAATTTGTATTTTTTGGATTTTGTATGAAGACGAGTGTCAAGTATGATTAATTTTTTTTTTTCAGAAGCACTAATTCATATCTCAAATTTTAAAATCTTAATCAATGCGATCACATTTTATTAGTTTAGTTTACAATTTTGTCGAATTATGAATCATTATTTATTTACAAACAATAACCAACTAATATGTAATATTTCGCATTAGTTTATTAAAATGTTAAGATAAGATAGTTTTTAAATTATTTGAATGCCTAAACCCTAAACCCATTGAAATAATTACGACGTTCCTATGTTCTCATTTCCATTGCTGCATAATTACTGAGCACCGAGGTTTCAATTATTTATGTACAGCTTTATACCTTTTTACATTCTCTGCACCGACAAGATAAAAAGTTACCGATGGTGACCCAAAAGCAGCTACGTACTTTTACCAACGTCGATCCTTGGTTGAATTCGGTTGGTAAATTATGAACAAACACGCATCATATGTAAAACATGCAACATCTTTACGCAATTTTCTCTTATTAGTTGAAATTCTCTCAAAAAGTAAATTGCGTCACATTTTGATTAAGAAGTCTATATAATGAAGATTATTTTACGCAATAACCATTTTTTATTGTTTTCAAATATCAGGAATCAAAATGAAGAGTTATACTAATCTCGAGAACTATTTTAGCTAAAAAGCATATGTAAAACATTCAACTTCATCATTATACAATTTTCTCCTGTACGTTGAAAGTTCTATCAAAAAGTAACTTGCATCACATGTTTTTTTTTTTATTTAACGGAAGACCAGTAATGCTACCCTATGACTATGTACAAAGAATGGATAAAAATAATTAAGACCCACAATTGGGGAGACACGAGTCCATTTGGCTTTGGTAAGCACTAGTGATCTCCGATTCTATCTATTAGTATCAAATTCAAATGAAATTATCAACATAATTATACTACTAGTTGACCCGTTTTAATTTGCTACCTTAAACCATAAGAGCTTAGCCACAAGAATCTTATCAACACAATCGTTCAAAATTAGAACAAAGGAAGCAAACGAGATAATATAAAAAGTATTGAAAGTATAATTTAGATAAAAAGGTATGATGAATTGTCAACGACCGATTTATGTTGTTTGCTGGTAAGTGGCAAATTAATCACTAACTTTACCAACGTTTGACAAAGTAGGCCTCCTCAAGGGAGTGTAAATCTCAAATCGGAGAGTTAAAGCCTAGCATAAACAATCGGGTTAGATCCATGTTCTAATATAATAGGATTAGAGTAGACTATCCATGCGTTGGACCCAACAACCTTACTGCATGCTCCAAAATGTAACTAAAATATAGAGTAAAGGAGAAATTAGGTTCATAGGGCACTATGATTTTTTAGGGTCAGAGTAAGGCGAATTGAAATACTATTATCTCAGAAGTCTAGTCATGGACTTAACAGCTTCCACAACAAAGCTGCACAGACCGATCAACAATGCCACCATCGTGTTCTAGAGCAATGGATGTAATTGATGACTTCGCTAAGATTGACCATGCTTGTTCCGCAATATACGGAAACCTGATCTAGTATGGAATCAGTAAGGTTTCCAATATTCTTGGACTTCCTACAATATAGGGATTGGCGTACGCCATAAGTAATCTAACTCCTAAGAGGATGTAATATCTACTCCTAGATATCCTTTGGGATTCTCCTACTTTAATATGGATTTCATATCCTAAAATTTCTCTATCATGACTAGTATAAAAACACCTTTCTAGGGTTCATCTTTGGGTACGAAATTATCGCATACTTGTTCTCTAGCTTATTGCTTGGGTCTCATAATATTACTTACTAACTTGACTATTGAAGAGCCTTTGGTCAACACTCTCTGGCCCTTGGACGCTAAAGGTTGTTTGATATTTTACAAGTTAATGAGTTTGTGCATCTCCACGTTTTACAGTTGTGTGTGAATTTGGTTCCAACAATTGGTGTTTTCATTGAGAGTGAACTCATAATCCACCAGACCAAAATCAATCTACCATATGCGTGTCTAAAGAAGAAAGTTTAGTTAACACTAATGTTAACACAGCGACAAGAAACAGTCCACTTCTCGACGACTCCATCACCCTTGCCAAGAAAAATTCACTTCCCAACGTTTTCACTACTCCCGGTATTAGCAATCAGGTCCCTAATGCTGCAACCATTCCAAAGAACGATGATACTCCTACCTGTAACCCCTCTCACCTTGGATCAGATTTGGGAGACTTTGTTGAAGGTCAACACCTCTATTAATAAATTGCAAAGGACCTACACGATTTCTTGGTCAGAGAATCATGCAAACTTCATGGACATAGAGAAGTGAATGAAAGCCTTAGAAAACTCAAGCGAAACTACTCTATAAACCTAGATTCCTATCGTCAATTATGGGAATTTAAGTAACATAAGCTCATAACAGCAACCAATCATGCCAACCTTCATTCTGACCTCATCATAAATTGTTGATCCAAACACGAGCGCCCCGCACAATGGCTAGATTGTTAATCACTAATCTGCAAGAAGGATTTGAGTTCAACGTTAGTTTGATCCCTTGGACACTGCACGAGCACCTTACATACACCTTGTCATCTGAACTTTGATGATGCAGAGTCATTAAAAGACCAAGAGCATTGCTGACCACTGAATCTGGAAAATCCTAGGGATGTGTCAAGGGAAATTCTTTAAGCAACAGATCAAACTCAGATCTTTAAGCAACGATTATTGTTCAGAGGTTAGTTTTTGTTTTCTTTTGGCTTGTGTGCATGGAAAAATGACAACAAGGAGGAATCTCGACATTTGTTGGAGGTGACTCATAGCAGTGCTTCTTTGTTGACAATTGCAAGGTCATCAGAGGTGATGCAATCTTTTCCTCGTGATGTTGTTACATTGGTTTTACAACTCGCAAGGTTGTTATCTTTCTTGTTGGTTAGATATTGGTTTGCAAGGTTGTTATCTTTCTTGTTGTTAGATACTCCGTGGTGGTTGGGAAATTGTATTGTATTCATTATGAGCTTGTAATTGTGAGTTTTGTGTGTGTGTGTGTGTGTGTGTGTGTGTTTTTTTTTTTTGTTTTTTTTTTGGTGTATGTGACCTTTTGGTTATGTTCAACATGTATGTCCTATGTATGTCCTTGATGATTTCTCAACAAATTCTTATTACTTCAAAAAATAAAAAATAAAATAAAAAACAACCCTGTTAGCCACTACCATCCGTCATCAGAAACCCCCCTCCTCCTTACTAGGTTTGATTTTGCTTGCATACTTTCAAATCAAAAGTAAAATAAAAATTCATAAACATAGAGAGAAGAGTGAGGAAATGAAAAACCCTAAAACTACCATTGATGGTTCAACCATCAACTTTAACCCCATTCAAAAGGAGAAATTATTAAGTGGTACAATAGTACCACGTCAGTTATAGTACTTCCACTCAAAACTTGCCATTTGTATAATTTTTTAATAGCTGGATTTAAATTCATTAAATACTTTGTTGATAAACAATAAAAAAAATTTAAGAAACAAAATAAAAAAAAATTCCTCAGTCGTCCCTGCGTCTTTCCCAGACGCCCAAACTACTACCCCCTCTCTCCCAAACTCCTAAACTGCAACCCACTCTCCCCCTTGTTTTCTAGCACTACCACTTTCTTTTTTAATTTTTTTTATGTCAAATTCATCCTAAAAGTCAAATTAAGGCAATGGTACTTTGGAATTTTATCTTTTAGAATTTGGAGAATTAGATTAGTTAGGTTATTTGATTTTTCAGAGTTTGAATTTTTGGAGCTGTTACTTCTATGGTAGGGAAGCGAATCTCGGGAGGATCTCATTAAACACAACGAGCACGTAGGTCAGAGACGGCGTTTGCAAAGCAAATAAGAAAAAAATGAAAGGGAGGAGAAAGAAAACAGTGAACAGAAGGCCAACTGTGAACGACCAAGATCAATTGATCCCTGAGTATTCGGAGAGGATACTAGTCCATCTAGGATGGCAGCCATGGTAAGTGTGAGAGTGGTGGCTGAAGATTGGGAATTTGCCGTAAGGATGGTTACTAGGTTTTATTATTAATTTAAGTTTTATGTTTCTAAATTTTTTTTAATGACGAAAAAAAAAGACAAGAAAAAGACATTAAATCCAGGTGTAAACAAAAGTTCATGTGGAAAAATTTGAGTGGAAGTATCACCAGCTGACGTGGTGATATTGTACTACTCCATAATTTCTCCTTCAAAAGCTAGTTCAACAAAACCCTAGGAGTGGAGGTCGCGACATTAGGAGGATAAGGTTACTAACAACAATCATTGTGACGGGAATACGGGTGGTACACCACACGTTTTTACAGAAGAGGTGGGAAATTTTATTTTTTAAGTTATTAACTTTTTAACACACATATCCCACTATTTGTATAATGACATGTGGTAGACCACCCCGTGTACCGGTCACATTGAAAAATCTCTCGCTAACAACGAATTTGAGTAGCTGCTAGGCTAGGTTAAGGTGTGTGGGGAGTTTGGAGACAGTGG